TGCCTATCCAAACATAGTGGAGACAAGGACAAATTATCATGGTCGAAAATGTGAACATAATAACCAAGAGAAAATTAGTGTCACTTCAACAAGAAGTTTCTAGCTATCGTATGGATCAGGATATAGAGAACAATGTTAAACATATATAAATTACAACCAACATAATGATCATGCTAGCTTTGGCATGGAAAACCCTTGCCATAAATTCTTGACATCCTGTGATCATTGTTGTAAATATCTATGTGGGCATGCACGTGTTTGATGATGAATTTTGAAGGCTAACCTCCCCCGGTCCCCCTAGACTGAACCATGCTTAAAGTATCATTAATTAATTAATCTCGAGTCACTACTGAACGAATTTAAATCATTTTATATAACTTAATTTATAAAATAATAATTGTAGGTAAATGAGAAGAAACTCTCGCAAATCAAGTGTGATAATAGAAAAATAAAACCAAGAGAATGAAAAGGGTTGACACTTTCTAATTGCCCATTTTCTTCTCGGTTATAGAAATCTAGAACAAAACAAATGGGGATGAAAAGTCTAAGAAACTGGGAGTATTGGGCTGAGTGGATTCAGCCCACCATCAGATGCGCTCTCATGCAGCATGTACGTCGTCCATGATCCACAAAGAGACGTGCCATAACTCGGCCAACAATATTGTAACCCTAGATGAATGTGGAATAGGGTATAAAAGCACTTGTAAGGCCTTGCGCCATAATCATCAATAAAATCACAACAGCTTTTCTCGTGGACGTAAGCCTCACCCACTGTGAGGAAGAACCACGTTAAACAAAGTATCATCTATATTTTCGTACTATTTTTCATGGTATTAGAGCAATCGCTCTAGGTTGACAATCAACTTCTTCAATCATGGGATCCGATGATGATTCTGATTCCAAGAATAAATCGCCCGTCGGCAGCTCTGGCGCTAAACCTGAGCTCTCCTCCGTGTATCAGCTAAGTAACGCGGACGGACTAGGTAATATGTTGGTAGGTGATGTCTTGACGTCGTCAAACTACGGGGAATGGGTTCTAGATATGAAGGATGCACTCCTCGCCAAGAATAAGTTTGGATTTGTGGATAGTTCCCTCGCCAAACCCAACAAACCTCTTGAAAAGGATGCTTGGATTCGCTGTGACGCGATGGTGAAAGGATGGCTGAATACTTCGATGGACAAAGAGATTCGAAGCAGTGTCTGATTCGCAGAAAGCGCTCGAGAAATCTGGTCCGATCTCCGAGAGCGATTCGGCCAGGGAAGCTCCTCTCGAGCCTATGAACTGCGCAGGCTAATAAGTCTCCTTCAACAAGAGAAACGATATGTTTCCTCGTTTTACACTAAGCTGAGATCGTTTTGGGAGGAAGCCTCCTCCATAGCTCCTCTCCCAACCTGCATATGTGGCCATTGTACGTGCGAGGTGTCCAAGCGAGTTCGGGAACAACAAGAACACTCAAGACTGATAGACTTCCTCATGGGTCTCGACGAAACTGTTTTGGCGCGGTGCGCACACAAGTTTTGGCAATGAAGCCAACGCCAAACCGGACTGAGGCTTTCTACATAGTTCTAAATGCGGAACAGCAAAAACTGATTTCGCAAAACCGCAAGATTCAGCCCGATGCAGCTGCATTCGCAACGCAGGGTGACTCTGACCGAGCTGTTCGCGGTGTGGGGGAGCAGAAAGAGCGGATACGTTGTACCCACTGTCAGAAACTTGGGCATGTCAAAGAAACCTGCTGGGAGTTAATCGACTATCCCCCCGCGATAGACCTGGAGATCGTGACTGGCAAAGTCAAGGGGAACGCTCGGGAGATAGGCAAAGGCGTCGTGGATGAGAAGGGGCAAGAGGGGATCACTAGGGTCGAGAGCCAAAGGCATCTCAGGTGGAATCAGACCTGAGCCCCGTGGCAGGCTTCACTGCGGCCCAGCTGAATCAACTTAAACAAATTTTTGGACTGCAGGGCAAAGGAACAGATGATCATGATCCGGCGGCCCACTTGGCAGGTAATGTTTTCCATACTTCCGAATGGTTAATTGATTCAGGTTGTAATGATCACATTACGATGGATGGATCACTTTTGTCGAGTGAAGAAAATTATCATAATAGCCAACCCGTTCGTATACCCAATGGTGAGAGTATTCCGGTGAAACAGGTAGGGTCTGTAGAACTGCAGTCTGGTTTTCATTTGAACAGAGTGCTTCATGTGCCAGAGTTTCAATGTAATCTGGTTTCAGTGAGTAGACTGACAAAGAATAATCATGTGGCTTTGGTTTTTCTTGATGATTTCTGCGTCGTTTAGGACTTACACTCCAAGAAATTGATTGGGAGGGGTGAACTACGAGATGGCCTATATTACCTGCGGTTATTTGGAGCTGAAACACGCAGGCGTGCACGGTTCAGCAGCGCAAACCAGTGGAGAATGCTGATTGGCATGCACGATTAGGGCATCCCTCACAGGAAAAACAATCATATGTTAGTCGTTTGATGTCGGTTCCTTTTCGGTTAAATAAAGGCCCCTGTCATTCTTGTTCACGGGCAAAACAGTCGAGCCTACCTTTTCAGTCAAGTGCCATTAAGACTACTATGTGTCTTGAGATGATACACATAGATCTTTGGGGCAATTATAAGATTGCGTCTCTTAGTGGCGCACATTATATTTGACGATTGTGGATGATTACTCACGTGGTGTTTGGGTATATCTATTGCGTTATAAGTAAGATGTTGAGTAGTATCTATTACAATTCATGCAGATGGCGCGATTGCCATGAGTTTAACATTGAGACAGGTGTCAGACGCATACAAGCCGGTAATGGCCATGAGTTTAACATTGAGACATTACGAGCTTATTATGCACGAGAAGGGATATTGTTGCGAACATCGTGCACTGACACACCATAGCAGCACGGTGTTGTCGAGCGAAAGCATCGCCATATTCTCGATATGGCACGGGCACTCCGCTTTCAGGCTAGTTTGCCTCTTTGATTTTGGGGTGAGTACATATTGACTGCAATATACCTCATAAATCGCTTGCCAACGAAGGCCACTGGAAAGACACCCTTCGAGCTGTTTTTCAAGAAAGAGCCTACATATCGGCATCTTTGAGTCTTCAGATGTTTGACCTACTATAAAGATACCCATGCTCACTTAGATAAGTTTGGTGAATGTGGGCAGACTAGATTATTCTTGGGATATGCGTCTAGCCAAAAGGGGTATCGCATTTATGACTTGCGATCGCGGCGGGTTATCACTTCTAGCGACGTTCAATTTTACGAGCACTCGATCCCTTTCCAAGATGATATGCAGGGTGAGTTGCATTGGATTCCTCGCCCATTAGTGAGCGGATCTGACGAGCAGCAGGACACGACCGAGAGAACCTGATAACATCGTATTTGCACATGTTTGCACCCTCGTTTCTTGACCATTTTGGCTTGAGTTTTTGATTTCTTGGACTATTTTATGCTAGTTTGTGTTATTTTATCACATTTCAGGTCCTAGCATGTAAATTGAAGCAAAGGCGCAAGTTTCAAGTTAATCGGAATTCATTTGGCAATTTGGTAGAAGAAACACGAGCATGACCCGAGGAAGAATGGACTTTTACCTCATATTGTGGAAAAATAATCATGGAATCTTGTCATGAAAAGATAGAGGACGAGACTACGAGCGTCTGGGATCAAACGGCGACTGATTCGGAGTCCGGACGAGGGAGAAACGAAGCATTAAACAGGGGCGGTGGAAGAATTACGGTCAGGGGAATTACGACCGTATTTTCCCCTCCCATGCCCGTATTTTCACTGCCGAGAGGAGCTTTGGATGCGCTGAAACTTAACCAAAACGCGTGTTTTGGGGAAAATATGGGCATGGAATAATTACGACCGTATTTCTGCCCGTATTTCGCCCAGAATCGGGTTTTTGAGGCAGATTCGAGCCAAAGGAAAGGGAGAGCTGGGTTTTGGTTCTCAAACACCCAAGGGACGAACCCTAGAGAGAGAGAGCGACTTGGGAACATTCTTGGAGCTATTTTGGAGGATTTCTTCACCATTGGAGCTCGGGAATCAAGCTTGGAGAAGGAGATTGAAGATCTAGATCAGATTTCTGCAGTCTCTCTCTTCTCTATGGAGTAACTTCCCTTCAATTAGGTTTTGAGGAACTCTAGTTCCATGTGCTAGGATCTTTCTTGTATGAAGTTTTGGATGCGATATTGTTTGATTATAATCGATTGAGGCATGATTTATTGAGTCAATTGAATCTTGATCAAATTCTCTTGATTTCTGCTTTAACCTATGATAGATAGAATCTGATTAGGTTAAGAGAGCTTCCTTGATTGATAGTGGTGAATTGGTTGTGCGATAGTCAATCAATTCACTACTCTGTACTGGAATTCATTCTAGTAGTGGAGATCTTTGTGAATCGCCTTAGCATTCTATCCCGGTGAAGGCTAGTCGCCCGCCGGGTATTCTGTCTAAGAGGGCTTGGTCAGCTTAAGAGATTCCAAGCTAATTTAGGATCTTCCGCAGTTTAATCAATAGTAGATCAACCAAAGGTAATTGCAACTTGGACCTAATTGAGGAGCTAGGGGGAATCATACCTAAGTGAGATCCCAACTTGTAACTAGTAGAGTACTTATTATAGTAGTTTAGTAAATCAATCCTTAATCTAGTTTGCTAGATAATGAACTGAAGCTGAGTAATAGTAACTCTAGAGACCCGTGGATTCGATATTTATTACTTGTGTCATTATACTGCAGTCCCTTTAATTGGTTACACTTGGCCATTGTTAGGTGTTGTGTCGTAGCGCGTCAAGTTTTTGGCGCCGTTGCCGGGGACTTTCTAGATTATTAGGAAAGGCAGAAGTTTGTTACTTTAGCATTTTCTTTTTTCCACCCTTGCTTTTCAATTGGGTGTTTTTGTTTTTATTGGTGCAGATCTGAATCATGGATCCTCATGGTTTCTCCAACCATTGGGGGTATACACCACCATCCGAGTGGTATTACCCCGAGACTTCCTGGAGCACCCGAGGAGGAGAAGACTATGGAGTCGGGTTTCAGTACCAACCCCCCTACTACGAAGAACAATCAGACCCCTGGGTATTTCAAGAACAATCTCCTTATCAAGAAGAATTCCTCCCACAACTAGAAGGGCCATCAGATCTTAAGTTAGCCACAGCCTTCACGGGCCATCCAGCAGAGCCATGCTACACTCCACAGCCAGATCCAAACTATCACTTGAGGCTTCTCGTGGAGCAGATTTCTTGAGTACCTGAGAGACCCTTTCCCGAGATGGATCCTCATATCCAGGCCATTGCCGAAACTGACTTCTCCTTCTCCCGTGAAACAAAGGATACCCTTCGGAGCATAAAGAAGCACATAGAGGTCATTGAGAAAGCTTGTTCCCAGTTTTCTCAAGACAACCTTTATGCTGCCATACAAGTAGAGGAGGAGGAAGAAAAAGGCAATCATGAGGATGTTGAGGAGCATACAGAAGTTGTCACAGAAAGCTCCCATGGTAATCATGATCAAGTGTATCCTCTAGTGGTAGATCACAACTTTCACCATTTCCGCTCTGAAATGCTGGGCCTGAGCGAGGAGATGCAAGCTGAACTTATTGAGAACCTTGCATGGCGACTTGCTCTCCAATCCGTGCTGGAAGAAGAAGAGCAAGAAAGGGTGCAGAAAGAAGTTGTGGAGGATGACAAAAGTGAAGCAGAAGGAGTTCTTGATCTTTTCTCAGGGGTGATACCACATGAAGAAGGAAGGGGGGTTGAAGAAGCAATTGGCGTCCAGGCCGAGGATGAAGTTGAGATGGAAGAGGCTTGCACCGGCCATGAGTTACATGTGCTATCTCCACCAAACTTCGAGGAATTTCTTAGCAAGGACCCATTTGCAGTGTCTCTTTGCCAGACCAAGGCCACATCGACATTGGTCCCTCTTGGTGGACGCGATGGTGTCCATTCAATGTTGTCATATCTGGTTTGCAGCAATGAGACGAGAGAAGAGAAGAAGAGGTCTTGAGGGTGGAGACTTCATCTACATCAAGTGCACGAGCTTCCATCACCTGTCATACCACATGCTCGTGACTCGAGATTCCACCTCATCGACGAGAACCTCAACTTCAAAGAGGTACTGGGGTGGACCGAAACTTAGGAGCCATCGTCTGGCTCACGACGTGAAAGAAGCGCTTGTTGGGAGGCAACCCAACCAGTCGGTTTGCATTTCTTTCTCTATTTCTCCTCGGTTGAGTCAGTTTTTTTCTTAGATTTTAGAGTCAATAACTCAACCTTTGTGAGATTTTGTGGGGTGTTTGTGTTCCTACTACGCTCTCCTCCTAGAATGCACCGCCTGCCCCGTCCACCATCATTCACCCTTGATTTGGTAACTTCGGTCTACCCTCCTTATCTTTCCTCCATTGAGGACAATGTCGTGCTTAAGTGTGGGGGGATGTTCGTTTATGTATGCGTGTGAATGTTTGGTTGTATGTGTGTGCTTGGAGCCTAGTCCACTGTCCAAATCTTGAGATTTGAGGGCTCTAAGTACTGTTGTTTGCTTGATCGTATTGGCATTGTGGGTTTAATTGGTGAATCGAATGGCTTTCGAATTAATGCATGACAACTTGATTGTAACTAGGAAAACCTATGATGATGACTGAGACGTGCAGTAGGATTGTGTAGGAGTTCAGTTTTTCAACTATTTGCTTACCAACTGTGACTTGGATTGATCACTTGCTCTTGACAGTCCTTTATGCATCTAGTTCAGAGAATCAGAATGAGAGATAGAGCATATAGGTAGCCATGTGAGATTTGAGCCTGCTCGTTTCTTTCTTGTGCGATAGATCACTCTTCCATGATGTGCAGCATTCACGTTGTCATTAACTAAGATGATGGAGGCATAGGAATAGCCCACGACCAAATTGACTGTCCTGGTATGTCATACCCCCTAGTCAGCCCCTTTGAGCCGTGTCACTTTCTTTCTTTCGGTTTATAATGGAAAATCACAATTTTGCATCTCTTAGAAGGTTCCACGGAGTGGTTTTTGCATGTTCTCTCCTGTTTTTGCTAAAAATAATGTGAGGGTTGGAGGTATTTCTTAAAAAAACTGGGCATGTGTTTGAAAAATGTGCAGAGGTGGTGGTTCTCTCAAGAAATGAAAAAAAATGGATGAATGCTAAAGAGAGCCACTACCAAAAATATGAATCATGCTCAGTAAGTAGTGTTTCTTAGCAGTCTGGCTTAGAAATACTAACATTTATGTGACCTCCTTCGCTCTTGTGCTCTAAAGAATTTGAGTAATGCAGAATGGCATAAGGAAAGTAAGTGGTTTGATTGACTGTGAGTTTGTTGGGTTTGGAAATGTGGAACCTTGTGCTATGAATACTTCCACCACCTAAAAGGCCTTTTCCCCATGTCCAAGACCCTAGCCAGTCATTTGAACCTGTGTCTTAGACCTCCGGATTAGTTAGTGATGATACCCATTTATGTGAACTCTAACATTTAGAGTCTGCCGTCATGGTGAAGAGACGTTAGGAATTGAGAGAATAAGTATGCGCATTTTTCGCATCAAATTGTCCTGACCCCACTGGTCGAGACTAAGCGATTCATTTCCTTGTTCTTTACACTCTTTACCCCGGTGAGGACCTAGATGGCTCGGTCTTGATTCTGATGTCTTGAGTTTTATGCATGAGCTGACTGTCTTGAATAAGTGGTTGAGTCAAGTCTAGGTTGGTTGGTGAACAGAAGGGAGACTCTTCCTTTACCCGATTTTGCTGCACTCGAATGTCCTCTTTGGTGGTCGTCCAGGTTGTTGTTGAAGTTGTTCATGTGTTGATGTCTAAAAGCCAGTATGATTCCCGTGTTTCGTGCCTATATGATATGTCCCCAAGGGTTTCATGAATAAGATGTTTTGAGCTTACCTTGTATCTGACTTGGTTTATTTGGGGACAAGCAAACGGTTAAGTGTGGGGGAATTTGATAACATCGTATTTGCCCATGTTTGCACCCTCGTTTCTTGACCATTTTGGCTTGAGTTATTGATTTCTTAGACTATTTTATGCTAGTTTGTGTTCCTTTGTCACATTTCAGGTCCTAGCATGTAAATTAAAGCAAAGGCGCAAGTTTCAAGTCAATCGGAATTCATTTGGCAATTTGGTAGAAGAAACACGAGCATGACCTGAGCAAGAATGGACTTGTACCTCATATTATGGATAAATAATCATGGAATATTGTCATGAAAAGATAGATGACGAGACTATGAGCGTCTGGGATCAAACGGCGACTGATTCGGTGTCCGGATGAGGGAGAAACGAAGCATTAAACAGGGGCGGAGGAAGAATTACGGACAGGGGAATTACGACCATATTTTCCCCTCCCATGTCCGTATTTTCACTGCCGAGAGGAGCTTTGGATGCGCTGAAACTTAACCAAAATGCGTGTTTTGGGAATGTAGACACCACATTTTGTCCGGAGCAATCATGCTAATTATATATTAAAAAAAAAGACCTGATTGTAGCATCACAATGATATTTGGCAAAGCAGTTTAAAATAATATGGTTGAGATTAGCCGTTGCAAGTCAATAAATACCATTGTTCTTTAACATAATGTTTAGATCTAATCAAGGTTCTAACATTTGGAATTTGAATGCAACGATGTTGGATTTGATTTATTGAGATACAATTCTTTAGTCTAACCTTTTTTACATCGCATACATGCTCTTGATTGACGAATAAATCACTATATAATACAAGTATGCAAGACTGTGTAAGTACAGCGAAAGCAATAAATAAAATTCCAAAGGTCTGCATGACTTGGGCCCATACGCAGGTACCTACAAAAGAAGAGAGATTCAGTCAATTCAAGCCCAAATCTGATTAAGCCCAAGCCCAAAGCCTAACTCGGCACAAGCCCAAAGCCCAACTCAGCCTAACCAGTTCGGTCCAAATAAATAACCATAAACAGACCTTGACCAAATCGGTCTAACCAGATCCTATCCACAGCCGACCTCAACAGGGTGGCACGCTCTTCAAAGTCGAAATAAAAAAATGGACGAATCATATGATTACACGTGGCGGTTTGGTTTGCTTTAAATGTGCTCCATGAGCTCTTTGTTAGAGGGGGGGGGGGGGGAATTCCAAAAAAGAAGCAGCAAAAAAATCTCACAAATAGAATTGAGATAAAAAAAAACTCTCTTCAAATCTTGCTCACAGGCGGAAGTTCAGGGGGGAACTCGTGAAGATCAAGCAGCAGATTTGCGAGATTGAAGCAAGAGAAACCATTGTTGTCTAATCAGGTTGGTGCTTATATTTTCCCACTTTCTAAATAAGAACTGGTCTCATTAATTTATCACCATACAGTTTTATACATCTACTTGCGATTTACGCTTAATCATTTCGTTTAGTCTGCAAGCCTCTTTAGATTCAAGTCTCCTCATTTACCAAGATCGGCTCATATCAGTTTTATTAAGCTCTTTTCATTAAAGTTTTTTCTCTCGCGTATCACCATACTTTGTATATTCCATCACCATTAAGGTCAATTAAAATAACTATGATCAAAGTTGGATGTTTTCTTTTAATCTCCTATTATGTTTAGAATTCCCCACGATTAGGGATTTGTTAAGCAAGCAGTCATGGTCACATATACATGTAAGCAAGTTGGATTACAACTCAATAGCATATTTTTTTTTGAAATAAGCAAAAACAGACTTTTAGAAGTCCATAGATCAATCAAAATCCAGCTCTAGGCAACAATTACCACAATAAAATTTCAGATTCACAAACCCTTACCAATTTACCAATCAAAAACCATAATCTCAATAAATCATAAGCAAAAGCAATAATTTAGAGTCCATAGTTTAACAAAATCACAAGCAGTAGCAGTGATTTAGTCCAGTCTCTAGCAAAATCATAGGCAAAAGTGATCTATTATTCGTTAAGATTAGCATTTCTAGAACATGTCAATTAGTTTTATATTAAAGAAAATTCTTTTCTTTTAGCAAACTCTAAGCATATCAATAGCCACGTCTAAAAACATCAACCAAACCCGCTAGATTTCATAAACGGATTCACCCTTTTCAGAATCATTCAAATCGTATTCAGAACTTTTAATTCCAAAAAAGGCCAGATTTGTATATCATTTTCAAACTGTGAATATATTAGTGTTTTTTTTTTCCTTTCTAGTTTAATCTCCCTAACCATAAAAAGTTAGGATTGGAGACCTCACCTAAATCTCCAGGTATTCGAATCTGCAACAGGGAGAAATAGAATTAGAACCCAGCATAAATAAAATATTCAAAATAAAAAAAAAAACAAAAAAAACCACCAAGAGGGAGTCTGCCCTGCTTCGATTTGCTTTTCCCGGCGGCGGTTACACCTGTGTCGGCGGCAGCGGCGGTCTTTTCCTCGCTTCTTTCCCGTCGTCTAAACCCAACCCTCAAGAGCCAAAGAGAAAACGAAAAATTAGTCGAATAAAAAAATCACCTAAAACAGAAATCAAAAGTCACGCATGTCGCCGTCTGACCTAGATCGGACTTCCTCGAGTCAGATTAACTCGATCCGAGTCGTCATCTGGCCAAATCGGCGGCATGCCTTTTTCTTCCTCCTCACCGAAATCAAAACCCAGAAACCCTCGATTCAAAGAGAAAAAGGAAAGGTCAGAATCCTATAAAAAAACAAAAGTCCAAAGAAAAGAAACATGCATGTCGAGTTTTTACCTTGATCGATTTCCCCCTTCACCGTCGATTAGGATTCCCAGTCAGACACGAGAGCGACGGCGGATTGAGGGGGTAAGAGTAGATAGCGACGGTTTTGGAGAGAGGAGGCTAGGGTTTCGGTCTGTGGAGAAGAGAGGGATGAGGGCGGCGGCTAGGTTTCTCTGGAGAAGATGAGGACGAGAGGGAGAAAGGCGAGGGTGAGAGAAAGGCGGAGGGTGAGGTCGGCTAGGGTTTCCTTTTTTTTCTCTGAGAGTGAAGAAGAGAGGCGAGAGTTAGAGAGAGGAGAGAACGGCGGACAAAAAATGAGAGGAGAGAGGTTGAGCGGCGGCCGCTAGCTCTGAATAGATAGGGTTTGATTTTTTCGACCTAAGAGATGAATATATACCCCCTAATTTGAAATGACAAAAATGCCCTTAGGGTTTCCAAATATTAACGCGGCCGTGCCACCGCGTTTTTGGGTAATTACCACAATACCCTTTCCCCTTCTCTGCTCTAAAACGAGATAAACAAAAAATTTGTAGTTAGTGCGTTTCGAACCCTTGTTCCCTCGATCAAACGCGAATTTGGTCTGGCGTTTTAGCCAGTTGGGCTGCTGGCCCTCATGCGTTAATATTATAATCCCGTATGGTTTTATTCATTTAAAGTCCTTAATACGAAATGTAGAATTGCGGATTAAGTATATCTCGTTTCTTTTCTAATACATCAAAACTCCTCTTAATAACTGAAATCCTTATATTATCTTTTACAATTTCATAATATCAACTTAAATCTTATTAACAATAAATTTTGATACGAGAACCACAATCAACGGAACGTGGTAATAATATTATTTAAAATTATCAAAGTCCGAGCGAACTACGTGGACTTTGATCCCGTCTTACGGGTACGTAGGCAACCGATAAGGTTCGAGTCCAACTAATCAACTAACTTTATCTTTAAATTTTTACGTCAGTGGGCGTATAATTAAATTACAACAAATATGATTAAATCATTAAATGGTCCAGTGGGACCCCTAAAATTATAAATTATTACTAAAAATACACCCAACACATTTAAACTTATCAACTTAAGTAGTGCCGATTTAGGGCGTTGTGGGGGTGTTGCTTAACTTCCCCACACGTAACCGTACTCCCGAACCCAAATCTCTTAACCGCAGACCATATCTCGGTTCTGACCCTAAGGTTAGAGCCGATCCTAAGAGTGTTCGATCCACTCCAAGTAAGATCGATGGCGACTCCCATAAAACGCCGACGCGACGACATTCGGACCCCCCGGACGGGACGGTTGCGACAGTTGGCGACTCCGCTGGGGACTTCGAGAGTCGAGCTACATAATTAAGTTCGATAAGTTTTCTATTTTCCTATCAAATGTTGGGTGTTTACTTTCTTATTTGCGCAATTATATTTTCGCAATTTAATTCTGCATTCATGCATAAAAGCTCTATACCCGAGCTATCCTATTAGAAACGGAAAAGGAGTACCGTGACTTTCACAGTAGTGGAAAGCACGCAAAACTTTCCAACCAAGTTGAACTCAGATCCGAGGTTGATCTTGAGGTATCCAGCCAGTTCGTAAGGGCTGTGGCAGGATACAACTTGGGAGCCAAATCCCTAGGAATCCCTCTGCCAGCATATAGTAAGCATAGAGGCCTCCCTAAACCGTCCAAAATAATCCTGAGACAACCCTAGCACCACGTCATTATGCCCTCTGAAAGCCCTAGGTTTTCCCAAATAGGGTTATATTTTTATTTTCTATATATGTGTGTTTTCTAACGTGATAACTTGTGGTATGTTCTCCCAAGTGCAATATATTTATTTGTGAGAACAATGTGAATTTTCTTTTCTTCTTTGAAAAAAAAGGAAACTCATAAGCATCATTCTCTTTTTGGGTTTTCGCTTATGCATTCAAAATAAATCTTGAGAACATTTTCAAAATGCACGTGCATCCAATGAATCATCTGTGCATCTATGCATCGCATAAGCATAATACATACTCTCCATTACTCAATCAAGTCAATTTAATAAAATTAATTGGTCAAGGTTCCTTAAAATTGCTCGTCCACAAGGAAAAAGTCAAGACTTCAAGTACTTAACAAGATCCAAGATCGAGCTAGTTATGGAGGCATTTCAAAAAGAGTTGAACGACATTAAAGGAAAGCTGACAGGATTTGACGAGAAGTTAGTGGGGTTCGATGAGAAACTAACGGG